GGGGTTTGGACCTCCGATTTTATCAGGATTAGATGTTAATTATCGTTGGCTCTAGTTTTGTTGATATTCTAATTTATTATTATTATTAGTTTAGTACTGTTGTTATCCTAAAATAAAATAGCAAAAAAATTGAGTTCTACAAAAACCATAAGTTATGTGGGCTTCTAGAATCTTTCTTCATACAAGAGCCCAACAAAACTAGAGATGGATGGCCCAATAAAATCGGTAGCCCAAAGTTCAGAAAATAAAATGAAAAAAAAAAAGAAGAAGAAGAAATAGCGTCTAGAATCTTTTTTTTTTTTTTGAAACAGCATCTAGAATCTATTAAAAAAGGAAAATGTTGGGAAAATATTTCTGCACTATTAAATTCCTTCTTTCTTTAATTTATAAATTTACAAAACATGTTATCTATAACTTATTATCAGCTATTTAAGAAATAATTACCAATAATATTTACATGATTAAAAAAGAATAATCCATGCTCATTAAATTATTCAATTAGGGTTATGTAGGTTATGATTGCTGAGCATCAAACTATTTAGAAATTTAAGATGATTATTCCTCGTTGTTTTCATTATTTGTTCGCTATCTATCATGAAAGGAAAATTATAATATATACGGTACAATAGTGAATTCTTAATTATTGTTCTATATTATTATTATTTTTTAAATCATAAATATTATTTTCAAAGTTTTTTTTTAGATATGTGAAAGATTTTTTTTTTTAATATTACGTAACTTGGGCGTGAATAAATTAAAATTTGAATATTACTTTAATTTGTAATTCTGACGGCTATGGATTAAAAAAGTGGTTTCACGTACTTGAGTGTTAAAAATCGATGTTATAGATATTTTTGAAAACATTATAAACATAAATATTTTATAACAAATAAGTGTTTCACATTTTATTAAATCAAATTGTCAAACCTTCCGCGTTATAACAGAGATGATCAACACGTTGATAGAAATGTAAGGTTGATATGCCATTCAGATTTTTTTTCTTTTCAAATTCATTAAATCAAATATGTGTTTGAGATATTTATCTTTTAAATTGTTTCTAGATTATTTGATAAGAGATATAGAAAACTTCAGTGTTTTCAATTTTTGAATTTGATATCTTAAAATGAGTAATTAAAAAATGTTGATAAATATATTATCTCATTACACTCTTCTCATTTTCTTTAAATTAAAACATTTAATATTATATAAAAATATATATATATATATTAATTAATTAATATTATTTTAAATTAAACTAAATATCTTATTGATAACTAACACTGAGAAATATATTATTAAACATATTGAACATTTTTTTTAAAAATTGAGATTCAATTCACAAACTTGCTACCAAAAACATATCTAAAAATATTGAAAACACGAAGCAACTCTTATTTTCATATTTCCGTTTTTAGATCGTCAATCAAATGCTCTTTTATATTTTTATTTTCCAACCAGATATATGAAGGAAAAAAATAGGAAAAAGATCATTTGATATTTTGAAGAACAAAAGTAGTCTGATGGGATGTTCCTCTCTCACGCTGCCACGCGCACACATTTCGTCGAGATGCCTTTTTGCTCTCTTTTTTTTTTCTTTCCCTTAAGATATGATTTTGACTAGAGAGATCACTTACTTTTTTTTTTTTCATTATTTTTTCAATTTTTTTTAACCTTTTTCACGACAAAAGGTTTATTTAGACCTCGGTTTTGGTGTGACAATCTAGATTCTATTTTTTTCGTAATTAAATGAATTCAGTAAATATATTTTTGAGAAAATTTATCTTTAAAAATGGTAAACATTGTAAAAACATAATAGTTTATATTTCAGTATTTTCAGATATTAAAAATTAAACACAAATTCTTGTAGTTTAACCTAAATATAAATTTTTTTTTAGTGAAAACGTTAATGGGTGTCCTTATTTTTCGGGACTAAGACCATCATTTTGGAATTTTTAGTCCCATCATCAATCTCCACCTTCTTCACACTCTAATTAAGTGTGCCTTATATTTGTTTCTACATCCATATATTTTCTTTGACACTAAGAAAAGATGATAAGTTGATTAGAAAAAGATGTTTGAGAAAGGAGGAAAAGAAACAAGACGTTGAAAACGAAATTAGATGTGAAATGAAAGGACCCGCATGCTCATAACTATATATTTCATATTGGTAATAACCAGATGTTTATTGAGCAATATCCATCTTCGATCAACAGCACTGTAAATTTGACAACATCTTACTTTTAAAAAGTATATTACTCTTTCTCTCTAATTTTGAAAAAGTTTAATAGTGATCTGTAAGAGATAAATGCCGATCGAGAAGCATGGACCCAAATGTCTTTTTTTTTTTTGTTTGGGTGGATTTGTGTTTGACAATGGTGATGAAAATGAGGTCAAATAGGGGAATTAATAGGCAGAGAGAGAATGAGTGGTTTTATGAAAAGCAAAGGGAAATGAAGGAGTGGTGGGTGAACCCCACAAGGCCTTATCTTTGGGCTATCCTCCCACCATTAAAGGCTACATTACAAAAAGCAGTACAGACATTAAAATAACATCTTTGCTTTTGAATCGACAAAAAACGAATATGCTTCCCCAACGGTTCATAATCAAAATGTACAAAAACCTTTTGCTTTTTTATTCGCACTCTCTGAATCGAGCGAGAGCTTGTTAAAAGACACGCTGGTTTTAATATGGCTGACAGTTTTATATCATTAAAATTACGAGAGAAAAGAAAACATTCAGATTTTCGAATCTGCACTAGAGATAATTATGTTATTTAATGATTTTTCTAACGATGTTTTGATTTAGTTTTGTTCTTATGAGGTGGAGATTGTAGTGCAGTGGATCACGTTATTGTAACATAATAGAACATGACCTTTTATTAGAATCATTTGATATAAATATATATTTAGTCATTCCACTAGACTTACTCATTAGAAGTTGTCATAGGTTCAATTTTATGTTAAATAATGAATGAAAAATTAACCATAGTGACTAAGATGATTTGAAAGTTAATAATAAAGAGTTTTAAGGATTGAACATATCAAGGGATTGAAATAATAATAATAACTTAGGGGCAAAATAAAATAAATATGGAACATCCGAGAAGAAATGAGTCTTATATCCCAAAAATGAAAAATCTAATCTATATTATATTCTCTACCTTTGGTAAAACTCAAACAATCTGAAAGGTTGTCACTCAAAATATCTAATTTTTAAATGACAAATGGTAGTAAGTTCAACAAAAAATAGTTGTTAATTAAATCCGGTTAAAATATAAAATAACTTTTTACAATATGGAGGTTGGAATCTACATCATATTCATTATCTAAAAAGAAAATTAAAGAACAACATAAATTTAGTTCAACAGCACTTTTGCTCCTTATCTAGAACTCGAACATTCACTCTTCCATTTTCATATTTATTGTAATAAAAGAAATCGAAGTTGATTGAATTTTTAAAGTGAAGATGGTTTGAGGTTGTCCCAGAGGAATCATTTGGACGACTTGAGATTCTAAGGAATATCTTTGAGGTATTTAGTTCAAGTCACGTGGAACGCAACTCCACCGAACAATGATCCCTTTCATAAGTATGGATATGAGGACAATATGCATATCTTGAGTGACACGGAAGAAAAAGAAGTTAAATAAAAATGTTGTTTTTGTTTCACTTCTACTTCTAGTTGTACATGTGATGTGGTATTGTTTTTTAATGGTTTGTCCCACACATCTCACCTTGGGGGTTGTGTAAAGATTTGAACCATATGTTTTTGATACCCCTAATTGCCCCTATTCCTTCTTCTCTATCTTTTTACATTCCTAGGATTTTTTTCCTTTTCCTTTTCCTTTTCAAAATCTCATCCAAACTTCTTTTTTACCCATTATAATTTATAACTTTACATCCATGTCTTTGCTGGATTTTGTTCCATTCATTCAAATTTTAAATTCCACTTAATTGACTTGTGGATTTAAAAAGTAATTAAGTAGTATTTCCTATTTATCATTTAATTTTAACAAATACATCCTTTTATTTTGTGGATTGAATTTTAGATATGTTACGTGAAGTTTTAAAAGGTCGTAAGTTTTTAAAAGGTTCTAAGAGTCAAGATAAGGAAAGCAGATTAGTGGACCGTATGTCAAAGGTTGAAGCCCAAAAAGACCAAGGCCCATGATCGACTAACCTTAACCTACGGGCCTGCTGATCAGTTGTGGCCCATTTCTTAAGCCTTGGATTGATCGGTCAGACGGTTGGTGCCCATGATTAAGAGTGCGTGTAGTTAACACTACACCATAATGTGATTACACCAGTATTATCGCATGTTCGGTCATATTTGAACAAATCTAAACTTTTTTTTAAGTACAACAACCTGTATGGTATAAATATTCAAACTCAAAACCTTTTAGCCATAAATATAAGTCTTAATCAGTTGTGTTTATGATGCATTAAATGTTAAACTTATATGTTAAAATCAAAGTGGATTAATAATAATTTCTATACTCAAGTAATATCTATTTTTTAAAACTAATTTATTTACTTTACCTATTCACTAAGATTTATTTAACAGAAGTTATTGTTTTTTCTTTTTTTCTTTTTTTTTTTTGTGAAATTCAACCGCATTTAAAAATGGAGATTCCAGCCAATAATTTTTTTTTTCAAACATAAGTTATCGTAATTTATTTTCTTTTCTTTTCTTTCTTTCGTGGAAGAAAAAGAAATATATTCACATATATATTTTTCCGTAATTCTTTTTTATATCCGTGTCCGTAATTTATTAATTTGTTAAAATCTTTGCAAAAATCACATATATATATATATATATTTCCTTGAAATTAAATCATATTTCAAAGAAGGAGCGATAGTTGGACAACAAGAAATACACAAAAACATGAAAGCCCAATCATAGGACGCCACGTATTTGACAATACACTCACTCCCACAGCCACACCATGATTGTCACCGCCGTATTATATATAGACCGAAGCAAACTTCACCTCACCACTTGTCTTCATAATTGATATTGTTGTTTAATTCTGGTGCGTTTTTTCCCTTTTTCTTCTTCTGAAGATTGTACGGCTCTGAATTTCCCCCACCGTCGCAGATGCCAAGGACGAGCGAGATTGCCGATTCCGCCATCTCCGGCGGCGGAGATGCCGACATGGACGCCGGGGGATCGGTTACCAAGGAGATCATGTTGTTTGGAGTCAGAGTGGTGGTGGACCCGATGAGGAAGAGCGTCAGTATGAACAATCTGTCTCAGTATGAGCATCCATCGGAGGCCTCCAATGATGATAACGGCGGCAACAATAAGAGCAGTAACATCTCCACTGCTGAGAGGAAGGAAGACGCCGCTACTGGTTATGCTTCTGCCGACGATGCCGTCCCCAATTCCGGCGGAAATCGCGACCGCGAACGCAAGCGAGGTTCGATTCCCTTCCTTCCTTGTCCTCTACTTTATCTATGTAGATTTTAAAATTGTATTTGTAGTTCTGTAAAGACTGACATACACTCGCTTGAATAATTTGGGGGAATTTTGATAATCGCGGTTTTTCACTATATAGATTGGGAATTCTGATTAGGTCTATCTTGGAAGCTTGCGGACTAATTTAATTTAATTTGTTCTGTATTTGATGTTGTTAATTTTGGGGTTGCATGTTTGTAAATGATTTCCAGGAGTACCATGGACGGAGGAAGAGCACAAACTTTTCTTGCTGGGATTGCAGAAAGTGGGGAAAGGAGATTGGAGAGGAATTTCGAGGAATTTTGTTAAGACTCGAACTCCGACTCAGGTGGCTAGCCACGCACAGAAATACTTTCTACGCCGAAGCAACCTTAATCGTCGCCGCCGTAGATCCAGCCTCTTTGATATCACCACGGATACGGTAACTGTCATCTTTACTAGTTAATTTATAACTTCTGTTTGGTCGGTGAGAAATACTTATAGATGGACGAATACTGAAATAGATTGGTTTTCAAGTATTTTTCAAAGTGTTGTTTGATTCCGTAGGGTTGCAAACTTTGATTTTCAGTTCTAATAGTGAATTCATTTGGGTAGGCGAACTAGGATTTTTAGTCAACGGGTTGGTGAGTTCATTAATCCTGTGGCAGATAGGGAAAGTTCGCGACCCATCCCCTGTTCTGAACTTGCTTCTCTGTTGCTGCTTTTCTTTAAGCCACCGTGAAAAAGAAAACCACCATTTTTTCTTGTAGCACAGGGATAGGCAACGGAACCAACGATATGATGAATAGTTTTGGGGTTCCAATAATAGAGTACATCAAAAGTGTAAGTTTGAATTGATCTTTACTTATAATTCCTTTCTGGATTCATTAGGTTAATGTGGCTGCTGAGGAAGATCAAATTCAACTTCAAGGTAATTCCTCCCAATTGCAATCCTTATTGCCGCCTCCACCACCTGAACCTTGCAACATAAATGGATATCACCATGTGATGCCAAATTTTCCTTTATCTGTCTGCCCTGCAATTTTACCCGTGCCAATTCCAATGGAGAAACTAACACTTGGGCACGACAACCTGGAGAATGCTACATCATTAAAGCAGGTCCATCCTCTTGCTGCTGAAATTTTGCCGCTCAATGCAACTACACCTGAAATTAACCTGAACTTGAAGTCGACAATAAATTCTGGAGGCTCTCTTTCTCTTAACCTCGCTTTGACTTCAGACTCGGGCGATTCGTCAATGAATCACCTTGCTTTCCAAGGAATTTCAGGCATGAGCAGCCGCGATAACATTATCAGTGTTGCTTAAGATCGCTTTGTTCGCAAGAATGGTACGTTATATTGATCTGAAACAAATCGATTAGGTGACTAACTAAAGCCTTTGTTGTAGTTGTACATCCCCCCCACTCCCACCCCATAAAAGGGGCAAGAACAAGAAAAGAGAACTGCCCATGCCCTGTTGTTTTCTTCGTTTATTATGTCCATTACCTTTGGATTCTTCTTCATTTGGTGTTTGTTTGTAGAACTGAACCTAACAAGCAGTCTCTGCTGTAGTCCCTGCTCGCTACTGCTCAATGATAACGTGGGTTTCCTCTGTATTCATTTGTGGCCATGGTGTGTTTTGAGTAAGAAAAATATCAAGTTTTATCAGGGATATGGTGATGTAGCTACCTCATATTTCTCCATCTTTGATTACTGAGGATAGCATTTGGCCCTCTATTGTGGGTCAAGGATGGTTGTACTGTCCTTATACTTATATATGTGGTATTTGCTTATACTTGTCCCATGCCAGAGTGTTCTCAGTGAAAACTCTTTCAAATTCTATCTTCTATTCCCCTCTCTGTAGATGTTGTTTTCAAAAATGTCCTGTGGACTTCAATAGCCTCATTCTTTTGACCTTATATGCAAATTGCTCAACATTCCAACTCTGAATTTGGTAACCATATTTGTATTGTTAGTGATTCATATGTGAAGTTTAGAGTAGATGTAGTTGGTGTTCGTGTTTGCGTTAGGGGTTAGACGGACTACCTTCTATTTAAAAATGATGTGGGGTCTATTTCTTTCATTTATTGTGTAAATAGGAGGGAGTATGATACTCCCGTAGTACTATTAAATTTCCCCGGGATTAGACTAAGGCACGCCATGTAGCCCTATCGTCAAAAAACACGTGTTCGAGTCATTAGAGTATTGTAGGTAAATGATTCAATTTGATTGATTTGAATCCTTTGCCAAATTGGAATTGTTTGTCCATCCAAATATTTCACCGAGGACCCAAACCACAAACTATAAAATTTACTCATGCTCCCTTGTTTGGAAACTGGATTATGGCTGTTCCAGGTCCGAACTTTTAAATTTTGTAGCTTTAATTATTTCTCGGATCAAAGCCCTTCTGGTAAATAAATACGTTATTTTAATTTTTCTTTTTAGAAAAATATTACTTGTTTGGCAAGCGTATTTATATGCTCTGTACTTGCTAAATCATGGCGAAATTGAAAATTTTAATTTTTAACGACAGTGTTTAAATTTTGTTTTATGTTTTGTCTTATAAAAACTAAAATGGTGCTATTGAAGCGCTGAATTTAAAAGTAAAAGAACCGAGGTGGTAAAATTGTGAGGGAATTTTATCATTGTTAAATTGTGGATCCGACGATTTTAATGGTTCGTCTTATTCTACAACACCAATAAAAAAATCACTTTAATAAAAATAAATAAATACTCCAAGTAATGCCAATAATTTATTCTCAAAATAAAATTTAGGTATTTAGTCCCATTTGAAAGGCTAACAATATTTTCATATAATCGTTTCCTTCTTTAGCCCAAACCAAACTTCAAATTCTAACGACATTTCAAATTATTTATACTAAAAAAACATTTTCAATATAAATTATCTAAGGAAAGTTTTCCACCTTCAATTATCCGAGAAAATAATTGATTTTATTATCGGTTTGGGGCCAAGTTAAAAGACACATTTGGTCTAAATACTTTAATTGAAGTAACGATTTAATGTTTGAACCTTAACAATTTAGTTTATGTTCTTTCAAATTAAATACAATTTAGCTCTCTAACTTTAATATATAACAATCTAGTTATTTTAATTTAAAATATGTAACGTTTTAATCTTTACTATAAAAAAATCTCATCAAAATTAAATGTGGATTTTTGTCATATAACAATTATGTGTTTATAATTTATAAACACGATGATTTCTCGTCAATTCATCAATATACATATATAAGAACACTAAATATTAACCAAAAAAAATCACCTTAACAATTAGAAAAAGGTAGAAATAAAAAAAAATTTGGTGGTGCAAATTAATAAGATAAACTTTGATGGGACAGAAGGGTTGAAAGGGGATTCTTTGTAAGTGTTGGAGAATGGAGTGTTTGAATTTAAGGTGGGACACAGAAATCAGTTCCATGCGGATTCGGTCGGGTCCACTCCACGATCCGGATTACATTATTTCCATCCATTATTGCCGCCGTCTGGCCCCACGCATCTTCTTTTCTTCTTCCTTTTTTTTTCCAAATAATTAACCAATTTCAACTTTTCCAATCCACACATGTTTTATTTTTTATTTTTTATTTCGAATTTCTTCATTAAACTTTGTTTTTTTCTTTCCAATGTTAAATATCTACCTCACCTATCTAATCTAAAAATCCTACTTGACCCACCTACTAAAATAAAAGAGAGATATTTAATTCAAATTGGGTTAGGTAGACAATATGATTATTTAACATTTAAATAGTCATAAGTGCTCGATTTTAGAGTATAATTTTATGATTTATAATAGAAACAATTTTTGAAATTTCAAAAAACCTATTAACTCTAAATAATATCTATCTTGAATCTCATCATATATACATCTTTATCTCCGGTATACCGAAAATTAAAAAGATATTTTATTGTGTTACATCATTAAAAAAATAAAAAACAAATCACACAAATCAAAATAGAATATAGTTTTTTCAGTGTAATATATCAGGTAAGGATTTGAACCTCCCATCTTTTGATATTTTAGTATAAATAAATCCATGTTAGTAAAATAATTTAAATTTTTATTAAAATATGTCTGATGGGTGACATAAAATACGGAGTCAATAAATTATTAAAGTAGGACCTAATTCTCATGCACATTAATTTGCAAACTTTATAGGTCGTTTAATTAGGACCGATTGTGTACTTTTTATTGAAATTGTAGGGATTCTCAACAAAAGAGGATGCCATGGTTGCTGAAAACTTGGACAACACTCAAAAGTTAGGTATCTCTTTGAGGCTTTCCATTCAAACAATCTCCGTATATAATCATATAACCCCAAAAATATAAAACTAATCACAGGTACAAAATTGAAATGCTACATGTTTATTATCTAAGCATATTATAAAATAAAATTGCTAATTTGAATATTATTCAACTAGTCTAGACATTTCACAACCATCTTATTATTATATAAAAAATGTGGGGTAAAGATTCGAACCCACTACCTTGAATGGTGACCATGGGCAGGACGAATCAGACTCCGGGTTTTTTTTTTTGTTAATTAAAATTATTTTTCAATTAAACATTTTTACTAAGGAAATTTATAATTAATTAATTAACTTTCAATAATGAAACTTTATTTACCTGGCTTGATCGTCCTCTATATATTTGGTGGGTACAAAGAGTACTAGAGAATAATACGATCTTTTTAATGTACATATATAGAAAAAAGTGAGACGGTTCGAGAAACGAAAATATGGAATGCATTCCCGATCTTTGTCCCTATCCATCCCGTCGAGAAAATGAACAACCCTACTCTTAACCTACATAATAAATAAATAAATTGATGAACTAATTCCATTTCAACTAGAGACAATATTATTGACATAGAGAACATAAGTCCACTCTGCAAGAACTAATTGGCGTAAATAATTATTCATACGTTTGAATTTATGGTTAAAAAAAGCACTTGGAAATTAAAAACAGTAGTGATTAAATTAAAAACGTAGCCTCTAGTTTAGAACAGAGGAAGCTCTGGCTCTACGATGGCGACTTGTAACAGCCGAATACGGCTTCTTGACCGGCGTCTGATCATCGGAATCCTTCCGATTCTTCTTATGAACCTTTTCAATGTACTCAGAGGCCCAACCGTCGACATTCGCCTCCTCAAAATCATCGCTCTCTTCGTAAATCACATACGAAGGAGAAGAATTAGAAGAGGAATTAGAAGAATTAGAAGAGGAATACCTAGGCGAGCTGTGGATTTGGAAGCCCCCCCCGCCGGGCTTCGTCACGTAGATCGGCTTCGCTCGGCTCTGCGGCTTCTGCAGCCTTCTGGTTCCCGGATTCAGAGGCGCCACCGCCGCCGGCGTAGATCCGGCGGCGGATGCTTCGTTGGCGGTCTTGGCGAAAGAAATAGAGGAGAGCTTGATTATATTGGCCAGTAACAACATGGACTTCTCGCAGAGCGATTCGGTGGATGATCTTCTTTCCTTTCCGATCATAGCTAGTTGAATTTTGTGTTGTTTTTGCAATGAAGAAACAGAGATGAAATTGTGTTGTATTTATATATAATTTTAAGCACTCGGCTTCTTCAGGTTGATTGCTTTAAGTTTTAGGGAGATTAGTTTAATTTTGGTAGATTAGTTGGTAATTAGGGGCAGGGGGATTCCACGTTAAGAAATTCAAAGAAGAATTTTGAACTTTTTGGAAGTGGATATATCCTTTACTCACTTACTGAGAACGATGTACTCTTGGGATGAAGGAAGACGAGAATAATCCATGAGAGCCCACGTATTTAATTAAACTTAACAATAAGATAAGAATAATTCCGATGACCAATGGCCGACTTTTTTTTTTTCTCTTCTTTTTAAAGCTTTATGCCACCTGGCATCTAGATATTTTCTCTCCTACCAAACTCTTATGATCAATTGTTTCAATTTGGTGTAAAAACGTTTTTTTAAGTTGAATTTAAGAGTATAATTGAAACTCCACTTAATCTATTGAAATATGGTTATTTTGATGCGTTATTTCTATATATATAAGCAAATTTAATTTTATCATAAATTGAACTATACTCATATTTATGGAATAGTTGCAGATTAAAATGCCTTAACCATTTGAGTTATGTTCGATTTGGCGAATTTTTTTAATTTTCATGTTTGTATATGTGATGTAATGTATTTAAAATTATAGTGATTTTTTTTTAAAGAAAATACCTTCATTAAAGAATCAAAGCTACTTGGACTACATTTGAAACCAAATTATGATTGGATACATATTAAGCCATGAAAGAAAAGAAGAAGACCACAAGATTGAGTGCATCGTTAATTATGTATGTATGTATATATATATATTATTTAAGAGAAGCAAAAGATTATTACATTACAAAAGGGCAACAAAATCATTATTGTTCCTAATAAACTTAGGTTTCATCCAAGGCACTAATTACTTTTACAAGGAAAATAGTAAAATAAAAAAAATAAGAAATAAAACCCTAATCGAATATCAAATCTCCCTCCAAAACACTTTCACTCTCCTCTTCCACCGCAATTCCAGCGGCAGCATCGACGGCTACTCTTCCCTCACGAACGCTCGCAGCAGCGGCGTAATCTCTCTCACGAGCATCTATCTCTGCGACAGCATCCCTCTCCGGCAAGGTGATGATCTTTATCTGTATATCTACATAAATTTAAATTTTAGTCATAGGATGAATCGTTGGAACAGCGATTTCATATATGTATTTCGACTGAATTGATGAATTTGTTTACAGTTGCTGGATTGTCGGGGGGACTTTATAAACCTCATCCATGTCTTCTGTTATCGAATTTGAATATTCATCTCCCAATATTTACATATCTGAAGAATGGTCTGAGGCTGCCGAGTACATAGCCTTTGGTTCTCCCACTTCGCGGCCTCCTGTCGCTCTTATCTGCGGTGCCAAAAATTGTGGCAAAAGTACTTTCTCACGTCACCTTCTCAATGTTTTCCTTCGAAGGTGATTTTTATTCTTTTTTAAAGTATTGATGATTTTAAAATTCAGAAGTGGAGGGGTATTTTCTGGATACCTCTCCGTTTCCTTGAGTTGCCATGTTTTTTCGCTGTATCGTTTTCTTTTATTTTTGTTTGCAGGTACAAGAAGGTGATATACCTGGATTCTGACGTTGGACAGCCTGAGTTTACTCCACCGGGTTTTCTGTCCCTCACCGTGG